AGCGAGCGGAGCTAGCGAGCGAGCGAGCGAGCGAGCGAGCGAGCGAGCGGAGCGAGCGATCGAGCGAGCGAGCGAGCGAGCGAGCGAGCGAGCGAGCGAGCGAGCGAGCGAGCGAGCAGCGAGCGAGCGAGCGAGGAGCGAGCGAGCGAGCGAGCGAGCGAGGAGCGAGCGAGCGAGCGAGCGAGCGAGCGAGCGAGCGAGCGAGCGAGCGAGCGAGCGAGCGAGCGAGCGAGCGAGCGAGAGCGAGCGAGCGAGCGAGCGAGCGAGCGAGCGAGCGAGCGAGCGAGCGAGCGAGCGAGCGAGCGGCGGAGCGAGCGAAGCGAGAGCGAGCGAGCGAGCGAGAGCGAGCGAGCGAGCGAGCGATCTATCTATCTATCTATCTATCTATCTATCTATCTATCTATCTCATCTATCTAACTATCTATTAATTATTTATAATTATTTGCGGAAATTAATTTTACCAACTCACCGATCAATTTCTCTATCATTCTTTTCATCCTCATCCATAGATTCATTCGATTTCTTCTCTTTACGTTCCGAGGTCAAATTTTCCTTATCACTTTCACTGTGTACCGACATATTATCAGCCTGACTTTTATTCGATTTCTCAGCATCGTTGGGCGAGGAAGCTGATGGACTGTCATTTGAATTTTTACTTTTTTAGAGCGTACCTTATAAATCATTGTATCATCACTATCGCCCGTATCATCATCATCTTCGCCATCATTATGATGTGTTGTTTCTGTTTTATTTAGTATGGGTGATGAGTCATTATCATCGTTGTCATCCTTCGCTGAATCGGAATCGGACAACATGGTGGATTGTGGTGATAATGAATCAATATTAAATATTTCCGATTGTACGTATTGTGATAGATTAATGCCATCATCATATTCTTGACCATAATTCGTTGCATTACTATTAAAATAATCAGCTGTAGAGGATAGGGGAGGAGGGGCCTTGATTTGAATAGGTTCTTCTTCAGTATCAATTGATTTTGTTTTAACATTATCCTCCGCTTCATCAGATGACGAGGATGACGACGAAGATGATGATGATGTTGAAGAATATCTTGATGACTGATCAGATGTTTTGGATAAATTATTTTTGCTAGTAGCTGTCCTTAATTTTCTTTTGCGTTTAGTTAATTTTTTCGACTTTGTTTGGGTCTCTATAGATTGTTTAAATACCACATAGGGTTTAAATAATTCTTGAAAATTTTGATATTGCATTATAATGTAATCATGCAGTTTGTTTTCAATAGAGGATGAGGAAAAATCTTCACAATCCTTTTGCATTTGTATGGCAAATTCTTTAAGTTTTTCCAGCAATTGACTATGGGCATCAGTTTTAATGATGTTTTCTTTTAAGGGTAAAACACCATTTTTGCACAGCATTTCAAATTCTTCATCAAATATTTGATGTTCTATAGCTTCGGAACAATTATAGGGTAATGTACCATTTAGAGATTTAACTTCTTCAGATTCTGCTTCTGTTGTTCGATTTTCATCATTTGTTTCATTAGTTTTCGGGGCATCTTTTTCAGTTTCTGATTGCTGCTGATCGTTTAGTGGAGTTTCTTCCAAATGTTCTTCATTATCTTGTCTAGCAACAATATTCTCTTCTTCTACATCTTTGTTTGGGGTGATTTGAATAACTTCTTTCTCGAGATTTTCTGTTCGTTCTTCCTGTAAAGTAGTTTCAGTTATCAGCTCATTTTCTGCTGGTACTTGCGGTTTTTCCAATGTTTCCTGTTCCATTTGAGGATTTAAAATTGACACACTTTCTTTTTCTAATTGTATGATCACCTCCTCTGATCTATTACTTACATCATCCGAACTGGTTTCATTTTCAATTTTAACATTAGATTCTTGTGGTTGTTCATCATTTGCTAATTCTGTGGCTTTTAATGTATTCAACATTAGATCCAACTTATTATTATCCAAACTATTAAGTATTTTATCCACAAAGTTTGCAATCTTATGATGATCTTTATTAGAGATATTTTGAGTCATGATGTGATTAATAACATTTTGTTTTAAAACATCGCATTCGTCCATATTTATGGAAACTTCTTGAGAATAGCAATGATCATTGATTATTGTCGAGAGTTGTGTTTCATTTAAACGCTCTTTCTCATTTGATATTTCTATTTTACATTTTCGTTTATCATCAATTGGCTCCAAGTAACCAATACTTATTGCTGAAACATTACTAAGACTATCATCATCTTCATTATTTTCATAGCAATCACCCTCGATATTTTCTTCCTTTTTCAAACTTGTGGCATCAGTTTCATGATCAGTGGCATACACCTCAACTTGACACAAGTCGTTTTGAACATCATCGTCCTGTAGCTCATACAGGCACGCTAGCATTTGTTGTTCCTCATTGCTCTCATTCATAAGTTGTTCTTCAGTTTTGCTAACAGTTACCTCTTCCTGCGGTCTGTAGGTCTCTGCAGGAATATCAAGTTCTGGCTCCATTTTATATACATTAGAGCCAATTTCAGGAATTTCTTTTTCCTGTTCAGTTTCTATATTTTCTTCCTCTTTTATTTCGTCATTTTCCGTGCGTTTTTCTTCTAATACTACATTTAAAGATTCTTGAATTTCCGCTTTTGGGGATTCCTCTGTTGTTTCTTCCTTAGCCATGTTCTCAGTTTCAGTTTCGAACATTGAAGAATCTGTATTTACCGACTGTACGACAGCATCTTGGGTAGAATTATCTTCTAAAAAACTTTGTATTAGTTTTTCCCACATATCGTTGCAGTTTTGGGCCGGTGCCGTATCCATGGTGCCTGATGGACAATCTGTAGATAAATTGGCTTCCAATTCCTCTTGAGTAACACTATTTAGCTCGTCATCCATTATATTAGGTGGCCTATCAAAGGGATTCAAGCTGATGGTATTGGGTATATCCAATACCATATCCAAAGTTTCTTGTTCTTTGTCCATGACTTATGAATCGAGTTGGACGTTGACGCTTGTCAAAGCGTTTTATTGTTTATACTACGTTTACGCGATAAAACTTATAATTACTAATTATAATACATTTTTTTTGTATAATATACTATAAGTTTTTATCAGGGTATATACACAGTTTCCTGTTTTATTGCATTTTTTTGGACACTCTTGGAAAAAGTTTTCTTTCACTTGTAGATCTTTTAATTTCTTTCAATTCTTATTTTTTATATATTTGCGACATTCTTTACGTTTTAAATTTTTCGATTTTGTTTATTTCATATCTATTTTTCACTTGATTAGTGTTAAAATTCAATAGAAAAAAAACTTTTTTTAAGATCTGCTTGTAAAATTTTGTTTTTTGTTTTCCTTTTCTTATATGATTAAAGTGCGCTTTTATTTTGAAACGAAATGGAATGGAATGCTATGTAATTAATGCAGTGTTGCATTTTTGGGTAGAGTAATTAAACTATAACCGGGTTTAAGTAAAGAATTATGTGGATGCAGTGCCTCGTTTCTGTATTTTTCTCGAATCGAGAAAAAATAAAAATATGATGGTCTTCCAGTTTTAACAGGGTTATTCAGTTTATTTTCAAAATGTACGCATTAATATTTAACAACAAATATTTAAATTTCTTGTGTTCTCCCAGTTTTACACAGAATGATGAAAAATACAGAAACGGGGTATAGATATAAATGATTTCCAGCTACACTTTGAGTATAAATCTTCAATTTTGAAAATATAGTACCACATATAAAGATTTTAATTCTATGAATTGTGATCTAGTTCTTAGTTTTGGAGTTATAGACCTTTAAAGTTTATAAATTTTATAATTTTTCCCCCATTTCTGTAGTCGAACATGTAGTAAAAATAACCTCAAGTATTCCACTTCCAAAAATCCCACTTTTAAATTACTCATTTTTATCCTGGAATAATTTAAAAACACACATATTTAGTTGAAAACTTAGCCGGCTTAAGGTCGATTTTAAGACGGCGCTTATTTTTAGTGTCAGCCGCCTCCTCCGTTAAAATTTGTCGGCGCAGGGCTCTGCAAATGCGTGCATCAAGGATGGAAGATGAGATTTTGTTTTAGTACCAACAAATATTTCAGAGGGTACTTTTGTGGATCTCAGAGTACAAAAATATTTTATTTTGCTAAAAGTTGGTAATTTCTTAAATATATTTATATATAGCAGAGACTGAAAATAACGGGTCCACTTTGTTTTTATAAGGTTAATTGCTGTGATAACCATTTATAATTGTGTTTTTGCAGTTTATCACTGAGAGATGTTAGATTTTTTTTGATAAGTGGTTGAGAGAAACCGAAAAGAAAAACAAAATAACTCGCTACAATTGATTTTTATTTTGTAAACATTTTTGAAAAGGTCTGCTTATGATTTTTATTTTTAAAAGCAAAACAATAAATCGTAAATGTAAATATACGATTAGGACACACATACTATATTCAGAAATCATAGCAAACAACAAAACAAAAGTAAAGGTTATACTAAACCATTTAAGTAAAAATCATTTTATAACTGTTATTCTGAGTGATTTATTTTAAAAAACAAAAATAAATCACAACTCATTCACTTTGGTTGTTGTTGTTGCAACAGCTTAAACTATAATTTTAATCCGGGGGTTCTGTATTTAGGTCCAAGCCAAGAAATTGGGCTACTTCAACAGGGTTAGTCCATAAATCCATTGGGCTAAGTTCATATTCACTTAGGTTATGTGGCCCAGTTATTTTCAGTCTCTGATATATAGACATTTTTAAACAATATCTCTTTAGTTCTGGTAATATTGAAGAGAATTCCATTATTCTATAATTTTATTAGCCATTTTTTCTAAAATGTTTAGTTGATGCATTTGTGAGAATTATATTTACATATGTACATATGTACGTGCCAAAACATTATAATTTCAAATTTGAATAAAAATATGAAGTTTTAAAGATACTTTGAGAGTATCAAATAAGACTTGGTAGTATCACGGTACTTTTAAACATCAAATAGTATCAAAAAAAGTACCATCGTACCAATTTTGCCATCCCTGGCGTGCATTTATTTTCACGTGCGAGTTGTGTCCAAATTTTGTAAACAAATTTTTAAATATTCTAAAATTTAATAATGGAAAATAAAGACGAATCTATAAAAACTAATGAAGATCAAAATGTGGAAGCATTTAAATTTTTTGGGAAAACCAAAAATCGCAAAGTTTCACCAAAGAGTAACAAATATCCTAAACGCCCATTGTTTTTATTTCCAGTGAAACGAAAAAGCAGATTAAAATCGGAAACTGTTGAAACTGCACATAATTTACCTGATGGTGAATTTGATATAAGCAAAGAAGATTTAGATAGGTCCGAGGGAGACAATATTACGTCTCCAAATGAAAGTAATTTTAATGAAGAAAATATGAAAAACGGAGAACTAAAGAGTAAGAAAAAAGTTAATCAGCCGATGCGACGAACAACTAGATTGAAAACGGAAATTTTTGTTGAAAGTTTTCCACATAATTCCGATGATGACGGTGATACAAACAAAGAGGAAGAGCCAAAAATTACTTCTGCAAACAAAAGACTTTTTAGTGATTTAGATGAGAAGGAGGAGGAATGTAAGAAAAAAGTTAAACGGCCTAAGACTACATTACCGAAGCGTCGTTCTACCAGATTGAAATCGGAATGTTCTCATAATATACAAGATGAAGAATTTGATAGAAGCAAAGATGATTTTCACATCGCCGAGCTGTGGAAGGAGCCGGCAAATAAGGAAAATCCATTAACTAGTATAAACACACCAAAAGATAACATGTTTAGTGATTCAAATGTGGAAGATAATGACATAAATGTAACAATAAATAACATAGTAGACTCACTAACAGATAGTACGCCAAAAAAGAGCAAGAAAAGAAAGCGGGACAGGAAATCTGAACTAGATAATAGTTTTGAAAAGTTGGCTGAAAATATGCTTGAATCCATTGACACAAATGTCATTGTGGATATGATGCAGAACAAAAGTTTAGAAAGCCAGAAGACTGAAGATGAAACTGAAGTGACGAGAAGTTCTAAAAGGATACGAAAATTAACACAAAGTGAAAATTGTGATGAAAATTTTGAAAACAACGAGCATCAATTGGATTTAGCGCAAAATTATATGCAGAATTTGAATGCTAAATCAACCAAGAAAAAGGGTACCAAATCTTTGGTAGAACAATATGAAGAAGTAAATGGTCGGAGTAAATTGGTGAATAATAATGACGATCAACAGCAATTAGATTTTACTTACGAAGACAGAGAGAATACCTCAAAATCAAACGCAAAAGCTAAATCTCCCATAAAAAGGAGTAGAAAGTCTTTGGCAGAAAAATGTGAAGAAGAAAATGATCAGAATAAGTTAGAGGATCAGATTGTAAATGATGACGACCAACAGCAATTAGATTTTACTAACAAAGACAGAGAGAATATCTCAAAATCAGACGCAAAAGCTAAATCTCCCAAAAAAAGGTTTAGAAAGTATTTGGCAGAAAAATGTGAAGAAGTAAATGATCAGAGTAAGTTAGAGGATCAGATTGTAAATGATGACGATCAACAGCAATCAGATTTTACTAACAAAGACAGAGGGAATACAGCAAAATCTAAATCTCCCATAAAAAGAGGTAGAAAGTCTTTGGCAGAAAAATGTGAAGAAGTAAATGATCAGAGTAAATTAGAGGATCAGATTGCAAATGATGACGACCAACTGCAATTAGATTTTACTAATAATGACAGAGGGAATACCGTAAAATCAGAAGCAAAACCTAAATCTTCGATAAAAAAGCGTAGAAAATCTTTGGCAGAAAGGTTAGAGGATTCTAACGTAAATGATGGCGATCACCAGATATTAAATTCCGCAAATGAAAATACTGAAAAGTTTGCTGAAAAAACTAAATCTCCCATAAAAAGAGCTACAAAATCTACTACCAGAAAATCATCAGAAAACAATGAAGAAGAAATTGATCAAACTAAATTACCGACTGATTTAAATGATCGTCAACAATTTGCTTTATCCAACAATGGCAATGTTGATTCCATAGAATCGAGTGCTGGACAAAAACCAACCAATAAAACTTTGACCCAAAAATTAAATGAATCCATTGAACTGAATAAACTAGAGGACAATAATGTAAATAACAGATTAAGTGATAACGATGAGCAACAGATTAATTTAACTTACAATGAAGATGATGATGAGGATGAGAATTTAAATGAAGCTAATAATTTAGATACAGAAAATATATTACAAGATAAACTGCCACCACAGCCATCAATGTCCAATAATGATACGGTTATAAATTCAAAAAAATCTAAAGAAATACCCAAAAAACGGGGTAGAAAAACGCTGGCAGAAAAATTACAACAATCAACTGCGGATGCGAAAATAACGGAACAAATTCCTAAAGTACCCAAAAAACGGGGTAGAAAACCGAAAATTTTAAATAATACACTGAAAGAAACCGACAATAACGCTGGTACAAATGATATAACAAAATATTTAACTGTTAATGATAAACCCCCAGAAGAAATTAACAAAAATACAACTTCACCAGATGATGAACGACCTAAAACCCGCAGTAAATCCAAACCCGTTACTAATAACACAGCAGATACCACAGTAGATACCATAGCAGATACCACACTAAATACGACAGTTAGCAGCACAAAAAAGGAAAAGCCGAAAGGACGTGGTAAATCAAAGGTACTTAAAGTCAATGTAGCAAAAGCCTTAACAAAGAACAAAGTTACAAAATTTAGTAAACTGACAAAAGAGGAAATCAAACAAGGTTCAAAAAGAAAAATTCCCCAAGAACGTCTGGAGGAAGTATTGACAATAATAGATGATGAAGATCATCCTATTTGGGAGGATCATAATATATCTTGTAGTCCTTCCATTTATACTTACTGGCAACAACGCGCTCATGCGGTATCTGAACAAAATCTAAAAATAAAATATGCACGTCAATTTCTATTACGTCGAGACTGGATTAATATGTACAAAATATTAAGTTTATCCAATACAAAGTTAAATATTTACTTTCCTTTAATGTCTAAGGTAAGTTTTCTTATTATAAATTGACCATTTACTACAAAGCTGGCATTATACAAAATTCGAATTTTATGAACTAATCCGGCGGTGTGTTTGAAAGTACCTTAAAAACAAGTAAAATGTCATAAAACATCAAATGATGATTTACTCAAAATTAAGTTTTTTAAATAATGTCGGTCTTGTTGTAAGTTAGCCTTATGTACATAGTATTATTTTCAGATTATAGCAAAATTTTTTGTAAAAACGATTTACAATTCCATATTTATTTATATCTTAAATTTCATTATAGTATGCTGCACTATTGTTGGCCCATACGGACGCGGAACAATTTAACAAATATGTACAATTCCTAACTAGTATGGTTGACAGCAGTGCTGTTCTAAAGAAATGTACAGGAATAGCGAAGGATCATGGAGAGGAATAATACATAAAGATGATTAAAGAAAATGACTTTAAACTGAAAGATATAAGTCGATTTTTTATACTTAATGATTTGAAAAGTAATATTTATATGTAAATAATATAAACGTTGAATAAATGAAATTAAGAAAATAATATAATAGTATATTTCTATGTGTTTGTATGTCTACCAGTCTGTCTGTCTGTCTGCATGTCTAACTATTTATCAATCTATCTATCCATCTATCTATTTATCTATCTATTTATCTATCTATCTATCTATCTATCTATCTATCTATCTATCTATCTATCCATCTATCTATCTATCTATCTATCTATCTATCTATCTATCTATCTATCTATCTATCTATATACATATCTATCTATCTATCTATCTATCTATATACATATCTATCTATCTATCTATCTATCTATCTATCTATCTATCTATCTATCTATCTATGTATCTATCTATCTATCCATCTATCTATCTATCTATCTATCTATTTATCTCTCTATCCATCTATCTATCTATCTTCCTTTCTATCTCTCTATCTTTCTATCTATCTATCTATCTATCTATCTATCTATCTATCTATATATATATATCTATCTGTCTATCTACCTTTCTGTCTCTCTATATATCGATCTATCTATCTATTTATCTATCTATCCATCTGTCTATCTACCATTCTATCTAGGTTTCCGAGTGAACGAAAATCTGTAGAAAGAGATTTTAATACTTTTTGGCTATACGAGAACCTATACAAGGATATTTTTACCACTATTTGAAATTGATATTGGACCACCTGTATAGATGGTCTACCTTTATTAAAGAAAGCACATACGAAAATAACAATTTTTTTAGGATTTAAATCTATTTTTATTTGAAGCCATATTTTTTTATAGTAGTAATAATATTAATATAGTTGTAATTGATAGTATTTGAATTGCAATATTTGAAAATTTTAATTAAAAATAATAACATAAATGTATTAGTTGCATATATATTTTTTTAGATTGCAAATGAGACAAAATCTCTAGAGCATTTTAATAATTAAAAAAAAAAAATAAAGTTAAAAAAAAACGTTAAAAATATGTAACTTATAGAAAGCAAGACAATAGGAAGTAAATTACAAAAGAAAAGTTTATAACTCCGTACTTAGAATCTCATAAGGAAGATTTATTTTTAAAATTTGTATAAAAATTCCTTGCGAGAAAGTGAATACTGGGGATAAACTCAACTTTGTGGCTAATAATTAAAAGTTAATGTTAAAAAACAATCAGGGAATATGTAAAGAAAACTAGTTTTGTAACGTTTACTGTTAGTGTTACTTTTTTAAAGATTTAATTAATATATATATTTATGTAATTGAATTCATTTTAGTTGATTACTTAAGTTTCAAATTACTTTTTTTTCAGAGAAAATCTTAAACCTATTTATAGTTTTTTTTTAATATTTTTATGTTATCAGGAGCAAAATATATTTAAAAATAAAAGAAAATAATATATAGAATAATAATAATAATAGATATAATATTTAATAATTCAATTGGCATCGCGTGTACTTAGAGGCACGAATTCTCACACCGCAGCTCTCACCTGCCTTCGAGCCCATAAATACACCAACAAGTTAAAGATTTCAAACATAAGGATCATTTTTTCAGGTTAAATATTTATGTATAACTACCATTTACTTGAATGGGTAGTAGGGTTTTTTTAGTTTTGCTTTCTTTGCTTTTTTATTATTAGTTTTTTTTGCAGCAAACTTATATAAAACATCAGTGTGATTTTTTTTGTAGGTGACACAAATTGTATTGTTTGGGTTAAAAAATATTGTGTGACATTAATAGGTAAACAGCTAGCTGTGACTGTATATGTATTACAGTTTTATTTATATTGCTAAATTTAATAGCCTTCTTCTTCCATGGAGAAATCTGAAGTTTCACCGGCATATAAAGAACTAAAATTAAAATAAATATTTAATACAATCAGAAACAATCATTTAGTTATGGAAAGAGCTTAAACTTACTTTACAGCACGACATGTAAAGAAAACAATACGTTTCAATTTCTTATTGTAGAAGAAATAATTGAATGACCATAAGCAGCCGGGCTCACCGAAAGGATCCGAACTCAAATCAGGATTATAACTATAAATGTCACATTCCTGCAAATTGATTTCATCATCAATGGCCGACCATAATGGTTGACGTAATCCTTGATATTGGTCACCAGCTAAAGCCGATAAATTTGAATGAACCGAATTCATAACCCATTGTAGTGACGGTTCCTTACTAAATTCATGACTCTGCAAAGATAGAAAAAGGGATATGATGAAATTCAATGCGAAAAGTTCAAGTTAAAAAATATTAATATATTAAGTTTGAATTTAAACGAATTGTATAAAAACGCTTAAATTTTGAAAACGTTTTAAAAAAATTTCCAAATATGTATATGAAAATTTTTAAAATATGTTTCATTATTTTTAAGTTCGAAATTAGAAAAATATAAGAAAATTACCTTAAATAAATTTAAAACTATAATTTTCTCAATCCTCCTAATTCAGAGATTATTCGAACATAACTTTGAATTTCCGAACATATCAAATTCATTAAAATTTTAAATTTTTTTTCGAAAATGTAAGAAATTCATCTCTAATAAAACTAAACTTATCATTTCCTCAATTCTAATAATTTTGTGATTATTTTAGCAGTTTTAAAAAATTTTCGAACTTAACTTCGAATTTTCGAACTTATCAAAAAAGCTTATTTTCTGAAACTTTAATAAAAATACTTTTAAAATTAAAAAAAAAATATATAAATTTTCTCAAAATTTTTTAGTTAGAAATTCGAAAATGCAAGAATTAACCTGAAATAAACCTAAAACTATAATTTTAACTTCGAACTTATCTAAAAAAGCTTATTTTTAATCTAAATGGAATTACATATAAAATTCATGAAAATTTGAAAATTATTTTTAAAATTTTTAAGTTCGAAATTCGAAAATGCAAGAAGTTTACCTCAAATAAAACTAAAATTATATTTTTATGAATCCTCAAGATTTAGACATTATTTTAGCAGTTTTAAAAATTTTTCGAACATAACTTCGAATTTTCGAACTTATCTTGAAAAGCTTATTTACTAAAACTACATTTAAAATTCACAAAAAATTTAATTTTTTTATAGTGTTGAAGTTCTGTTGTTGTAAGCCAGTTTGTCAGAACCCGTGAAGGCTTAAGTGCCTAATCGTGGAAACAAAATTGAATCTAAAAATTAAACAACGACAAAAAGGTAGCAAACCTGCTGGAAGAGAATTTTGGTTAAAGGACTTATACACGGTGAAATCTAAATATATATTGGGATAAATGCGGTATAGTTGCCGAGACAACAGATACTTCGCAGAGGAATGACTGTGGAACTTAGAGTTGGTAATGCGTTGGTGTCAAGTATATATAATACGGAGTGAATGTAGGAGTATGTGGATATCACCCACCCTCCCGTATTCCTAGAGTGGTTGAATGGAGATGGATACTAGTGATACCATTGAATTTTCCTGCTTTGTCAGGGTAAATTCAGGAACCAGTGGTGGTAGTAGTTCGCGTAAAGCACTTCGACTTCTGTACTTATTTACAATTTACAGGTTCTGTCATGAATATGAATATTTTATAAATAAAATCAAGGAGATAAATAAATCATTTTTTTCTAATTTTCTTAAAATAAATGCCTGTATATATGCTAAATCTCATAAATGGGTTAATTTGTTTATAAATAAGACTACAACCACTTATTTACATATAAACATAGACACACAAATACTTTGTTGTTTTTGTTATAGAATTAAAAAACAAATTCTACGAAACAAGAATACGAATTCTTGTTGCTTGTTTTGACTTTGAAAAGAATATATAAAGTGAAACAAAAACAACGATTTTTTGGCAACCATAAAAGCAAAACAAGAAATAGCTAAGTATGTATTTGTTTTGAAAACAAATTATCGCATTACGCAAATTGTTTATTTTTCTAATATTTTGTTTTCTATTTCAAATATTATTCCTGTTATGCAATAATTGTTAAAATATATAGGTATATGTATATATATAAAGGTTTGCACACTTATCAATAATTGCTTCTCTTTAAAAATTGCTCGTGTTTTTATAATAACAACTTTGTATGTAATGAAAACTATTATAGAAATGTAACTTTAGTCATAAGTAGTGCAGATCAGGCATGGAAAATTGAAATTTTTAAATAGTATTAACTTTAACAAAAATTGTAATTTTTAGGTTTTAAAGTATTGAACTAGTTTTCCGCTCTATTATAGATTAGACTATAGATAGATTAGATAGACTATAGACTAGACTATAGACTAGACTATAGACTAGACTATAGACTAGACTATAGACTAGACTATAGACTAGACTATAGACTAGACTATAGACTAGACTATAGAACTAGACTATAGACTAGATTATAGACTAGACTATAGACTAGACTATAGACTAGACTATAGACTAGACTATAGACTAGACTATAGACTAGACTATAGACTAGACTATAGACTAGACTATAGACTAGACTATAGACTAGACTATAGACTAGACTATAGACTAGACTATAGACTAGACTATAGACTAGACTATAGACTAGACTATAGACTAGACTATAGACTAGACTATAGACTAGACTATAGACTAGACTATAGACTAGACTATAGACTAGACTATAGACTAGACTATAGACTAGACTATAGACTAGACTATAGACTATAATAGACTAGACTATAGACTAGACTATAGACTAGACTATAGACTAGACTATAGAAGACTATAGAAGACTATAGACTAGACTTAGACTAGACTAGAGACTAGACTATAGACTAGACTATAGACTAGACTATAGACTAGACTATAGACTAGACTATAGACTAGACTATAGACTAGACTATAGACTAGACTATAGACTAGACTATAGACTAGACTATAGACTAGACTATAGACTAGACTATAGACTAGACTATAGACTAGACTATAGACTAGACTATAGACTAGACTATGACTAGACTACTATAGGACTAGACTATAGACTAGACTATAGACTAGACTAGACTACTATAGAAGACTGTAGACTAGACTATAGACTAGACTGTAGACTAGACTATAGACTAGACTATAGACTAGACTATAGACTAGACTATAGACTAGACTAGACTAACTATAGACTAGACTACACTATAGACTAGACAATAGACTAGACTATAGACTAGACAATAGACTAGACTATAGACTAGACTATAGACTAGACTATAGACTAGACTATAGACTAGATTATAGACTAGACTATAGACTAGACTATAGACTAGACTATAGACTAACTATAGACTAGACTATAGACTAACTATAGACTACTAACTATAGACTAGACTATAGACTAGACTATAGACTAGACTATAGACTAGACTATAGACTAGACTATAGACTAGACTATAGACTAGACTATAGACTAGACTATAGACTAGACTATAGACTAGACTATAGACTAGACTATAGACTAGACTATAGACTAGACTATAGACTAGACTATAGGACTAGACTATAGACTAGACTATAGACTAGACTATAGACTAGACTATAGACTAGACTATAGAATAGACTATAGACTAGACTATAGACTAGACTATAGACTAGACTATAGAATAGACTATAGACTAGACTATAGACTAGACTATAGACTAGACTATAGACTAGACTATAGACTAGACTATAGACTAGACTATATACTAGACTAGGCTATAGACTAGACTATAGACTAGACTATAGACTAGACTATAGACTAGACTATAGACTAGACTATAGACTAGACTATAGACTAGACTATAGACTAGACTATAGACTAGACTATAGACTAGACTATAGACTAGACTATAGACTAGACTATAGACTAGACTATAGACTAGACTATAGACTAGACTATAGACTAGACTATAGACTAGACTATAGACTAGACTATAGACTAGACTATAGACTAGACTATAGACTAGACTATAGACTAGACTATAGACTAGACTATAGACTAGACTATAGACTAGACTATAGACTAGACTATAGACTATAGACTAGACTATAGACTAGACTATAGACTAGACTATAGACTAGATTATAGACTAGACTATAGACTAGACTATAGACTAAACTATAGACTAGACTATAGACTAGACTATAGACTAGACTATAGACTAGACTATAGACTAGACTATAGACTAGACTATAGACTAGACTATAGACTAGACTATAGACTAGACTATAGACTAGACTATAGACTAGACTATAGACTATAGACTAGACTATAGACTAGACTATAGACTAGACTATAGACTAGTGGAAATAGTGTTTGCTATAAAGTTCAATTACCTTTAAGTTTATTGAAGCAAAACAAAACAAGAAAAAAACCTTAGCGCCTATCAAAAAAAAAAAAACTTACTTTCTATAAATAAAACAAACAGTGACTAGTAAAATAAGTTAAATTATAAAAATTATAATAATTATTACAGCAACATATTTACAACAATAATTAATAATAAAGTCAGTTTATAAATTAAAAAAAAAAAATATCCATGATTTCAGAAAACTATTACTCAATCATAAATTAGCATAAAAGTTGTTTAAAAAATTAAAAAGCTTTTAAATGAAATTGCGCCAATTTTACAAAGTCTCTAAAAGCTAATTTTACACAACTTTCGCTCTTTTTACTACAACTAATTTTACGCTATATTATATTCAGAATTTGCTAAGCGTTTATCATTTTCTTTAGAAATAAACACAACTGTACAAAATTACTATAATAATTGATAACAAAACGAGTCATCGTTCTATAAAGGTGAAAAAAAGGAAATATAATAATTTTAATAAAACTGTTTAAATTCTGGGGCTCTATCTATACATACATTATAAACAAAATACGTGATTAAATTTTAAAATAAAAATACAAAAGTAACCAAAAACATCAAATTACTGAGTGTTATTTATTTGACCTACAATAAACATATGTATATTATTTTGTATTCATATATATTTTTAACATATAAAAATAAAATTCTTTTTAATTATTTAGCTAAATTTTGATTCCTAAACTTATAATAATATAATGCATTCATTATAATATAAGGAACAAGTTCTTTGTTTAGCAAAATGATTATTATTTAAAACAGACAATGAATATAAAGTTAAACTACTATCAAGAGCGGTTGTATGGCATATTAAAAAATATACATTGAGGGACAACTGAATAGCGACAAAATTTTTGATGAATTACAGATAAATAATTTTGTTAAATTCTGTTTTTATAGAATGTTTAAAAAACCTAAATTTTTCTTTTATAGAAAATTTACGATAAAATTTATTTTTATTGAAAATTTACGATAAGTTTTCTTTGAGGGGATGTAAACCTTGGCATACAACCCTTTTAAACTAAACTTTATTTTTATAGAAAATTTTCGATAACTTTTCTTTTTATAGAAAATTTTCGATAAATATGAAAACAGTTTGGCTAAATAGTTTTGTTTTATTAAACTTGTATTGTTAGCGATTATTCTAATTAGTTGACCACTAGTGTATGATATATATTTTAAAATCATTGTGGTTCTAATGGAAAAATAGCAAATTATACATTATTTGCAAATAGCTAAACAAAATCATGAACTGTAACATATTTCATTAACTAATAAAGCAAAAATAATCATAAAATTCACACATTTCTGTCTAAATGGCTTTGTATCCCCTTACTTTACCGCATACAAAAACCTGAAATAATATGAAATACAAAAAATAATCTTTTAAAATTCTTACCTTTGCATCCGAAAAATCATAATCTGGTTCAAATGATGCATTCAAAGTAGCAATCAAATAGAATAAAGTCTTGCGCGATATAGTGTCACACAAAATGACACCCTCATCCCCCGACTGGCTATTGTTGCGATGGAAATTCGGCGACATATCAACCAATGTTTGGGGTGGCGATAGAGCCTGCAAATCATGCGGTCCATAGCCGTGAGTCTCAGCCGTAAAGCGCTTGTACAAAGCTTTATCAGCGGCAACCATTTTGCAAGAGTAGGACTCTATGCGTCCAAAAATGGTGCTACTGCCCGAGCCAATGGACAAGGCATTATTAATGGCTTCAAAGCGAGAACTTTCCAAAAGTTTCATATTGCTAATTGGTTTTAAAGTTCTGGACGTCTATAAGCTTTTTGCCAACAAAACGAAAGGAAGTTACGTTTCAGGTAAAATCCTTTTAGAACGATCAAAGCTCCTATAGAAACTTACTTTTTTGATCGTTGTGGCGCCACCAATTACTAGTGAAAATCTAGTCAAATGGAACTTTTTGTTCGTTTAATAATTTGTTCTGGTAATTTTAAAGATATTTATTTATTTATTTGTTTGTGTTGAAATCCTTGTTTTTAACGATGCATATAACTTAACAATCTAAGTTAAGAGGACAGTACGACCTTGAACCTTGGAAAAAGGTTAAATTTTGTTGTTTTCGATCAATTTAAAAGATTAAAAGGTCGCTGTCACTACTTAGGCTTGGACTCTTATAAACCACGGTTGCTGGCAAATGATTCTAAGGGCAGCGCTTTGTCTATTACAGTTGTTCATTGCCGTTATCGATGATGAGTAGGTCGTCAATTGGCAATTGAAGTTTCTGAACATGGTCGAGGGATGGACGAGGATTCTTTTCTTAACTGCTGCTCTTTTGTCGTTTATTCTGTAAATGTTGTTCGATTTTGGTTGCTGTTGTTGTTGTTTGTGGTGTTGCTTAGTAAACATTACACTAGTCACAAAAGAGGAATCTACCGAAATGTTTGATTTCTCTCGCCGCTCTACAGAATTCTAATTGGATATTTTTACGTTTATTAATGGTTTTTGCTTGATTGATTCACAACAAAATCCTGTTTTGTGTATGGTTTATACTTTTCAAAATGGCGTCTTGGTATAGTTTTTTTCTTTCTGGTTTGTTAGGTTTTTGTATTTTTGTTAATCGGTGCGTTTGCCCTTGATTTCACTTAATACACACACTGTTTTTGTTTATTATAATTAACTTTTTTTTTAAAAAGATTTCTTTGTTTTTGTGTTTTCGTTATTAAATAATCGAAAACACCTTTTATACACTTTTATTCCCAAACACTTTGTGTTTTATAAATGTTCTACAAAATCCATATCATACATATTTGCAAATAATCGTAATAAAGACATTCTCGTAGTTTTATAAAATCACCTATTATATAAAATTTTTCAGTTTATAAAAAAAGAAACTTAGTATTTTCTTTCTTCTCTACCGCCCTCGTTAATATATTGAGCTTTTTCTTTGTATATTTCTTATTTTTCTTTTATTTTCCTTGCTATTTATAGTTGTAGTTATTTTTTTAAATTGTTGCGAGATATTTTTCTCTTGCTTGAACTTTGATATTTGTAAAATTTTTTAGCGCAACGAAAAACTTGATGTCGAAATTTATTGATTGTAGAAATTTTCTATCGCAATCGTTACTTTATACAACTACTTGATAGTGGAGTGAGTCATATAATAGCGGGAAATAATTACTTTTTGTTCGGTGAGTAACCATCAGAGTTGCAAAATTGACAGTAGCAGTAACATGGTTGTATTTTAATATTTTTGTCCGTTAAAAATAAAATAAAATAAATTAAAGCTTTTTTTAATTTCAAATAATAAACTAAATTTATTTATTATTAAGTATTTTTAATTTTCAATATAGAAAGTTTCTAGATGTGAGAGCATCTCCAAGATAGTTAATTAATTTGTTAATAATCAAATTTTAAATTAATTTTGTAGTACCACATACATCTCTAATCTTAATGTCTGGCAACACTATTTAAATGACATTTGTTAAACTTTTTCATTTGTTTCGCGCTTTTTCTAGTGCAATTCATTGTGTAGTAATATAAATAAAACACACATTTTCTCAAATAAAACAGCCAATAATGTAAGTATTATTATTTTTTAATTGCAAATTAAAAATAAAGAACTATTGTTGTTAACAACCATAACAGAAAATCTGTTAATTTTTAATAACCCGATTAAAAATCCTTGTAAAATTTCACAAAAATAATTTGTTCTAAGAAATATGTAAATTACACACGCAAATTCTTGAACTTCTGTGCATAATTGTCTCATGCCCACATTAAATGCCCTATTGCTGTGACATGTTCTTCTACATGTCCTTAAATTTGTCAACAGATTGGTCCTTTTAGAGTTGTAGTTCATAAACTATAACACAGACTACCCAATAGACCAGTCAGTCCTAGACTAGTCAATAGACCAGTTCATATACCTACAATACTTATTCATAGACTAGTCAATAGTTATAGTCTATTGATTAGCTCTTCAACTAATCAATACACTAATTCATAGATTAGCCAATAGACTAGTATTTGAAGAGTGATAGAATATTTAATTCTAGATTAGTAAATAAGCAAGTTCATAGACATATCAATCTTTTGGTTAAATCTTTAACTAATCAATAGTCTAATTCGTAGCCAATCATTTTGTTGCCATTTTCTTCACCATATCTCATTAAATCATATATTACAAAAAACCGCAAAAAAACGTCATATTTAAAAAACGCCTTAAAAATAAATACAAAATTCTAATAAATTGGAGATTTCAACTGAACCACTCACTATAGAACTACACTGTAGACTAGACGAGACTATAGACTAGACTAAACCATAGACTAGACTCAACTATAGACTATACTAAACCATAGACTAAACTAGAGACTAGACTATAGAGCAGACTATAGAGTAGACTCTAGTCTAGACTATAGAGTAGACTATAAACTATACAATAGACTAGACTATACTATAGACTAAACTAGACTCTAGTCTAGACTATAGAGTAGACTTTAAACTATACAATAGACTAGACTATAGACTAGACTATAGACTAGACTATAGACTAGACTATAGACTAGACTATAGACTAGACTATAGACTAGACTATAGACTAGACTATAGACTAGACTATAGACTAGACTATAGACTAGACTATAGACTAGACTATAGACTAGACTATAGACTAGACTATAGACTAGACTATAGACTAGACTATAGACTAGACTATAGACTAGACTATAGACTAGACTATAGACTAGACTATAGACTAGACTATAGACTAGACTATAGACTAGACTATAGACTAGACTATAGACTAGACTATAGACTAGACTATAGACTAGACTATAGACTAGACTATAGACTAGACTATAGACTAGACTATAGACTAGACTATAGACTAGACTATAGACTAGACTATAGACTAGACTATAGACTAGACTATAGACTAGACTATAGACTAGACTATAGACTAGACTATAGACTAGACTATAGACTAGACTATAGACTAGACTATAGACTAGACTATAGACTAGACTATAGACTAGACTATAGACTAGACTATAGACTAGACTATAGACTAGACTATAGACTAGACTATAGACTAGACTATAGACTAGACTATAGACTAGACTATAGACTAGACTATAGACTAGACTATAGACTAGACTATAGACTAGACCAGCGGTTCCCACCGTTTTTACTTCGTGCACCCCTTGAGGAATTTATTTAATTTCACGGACCCCCATACATATTTTGATATCTTATTGTTATAAATAATTGTTCATCCGAAAATTGTCTTAGTCCTGGTCCATAAACCCTATAAAATATTCCCGTACATTGAGAATATTTAGTATTTCGGAGATGTTTTCAATTGCATGGTTTTAAATATAGAATGACTTCTAAGTTATACTTTGACTTCTAACATGATGTTTAATTTTATGATCGTGAGAGCTTTCATGTTCATTTCTCGTCAAGGTAGCGAAAAGGTTTCTTTATCAAGTATTGTCGACATGTGCTTAAGAGTCTGTTTCTAAATTTTTTTGCGATTGCATAGGAGTGAGCTGAGTATGTAAGCTAAGTTTTCGGGAAAATATGTGAAAGTTAGACTTCTTCGATGTTGTTGCGGAATGTGTTACCCACATAAAATATGACTTGAACTCTTTGCGAATGTACTGTGAATTTGGATCTTAAATTTGAATTTTAAAATACCTACGAATTATTTTACTGCGTGGTTTTGACTATTTACGCAAAACGCTATGAATTTTCTAATGTTGATTTAATAATATTGGACAACAAAATGAAGTTAAAATCTGTCGGAATGGAATATTTATACAGTGGTTTCCCGGTTTAACGAAAGATATAATGTAAGGCCCATTAGTAAAAACGAAAAATTCGTTAAACCGAATAACAATTTTTCTATGATTTAACGATAAAAATGTGGTAATAGAAGGTAGGAAGTTTATTTGTTATAACCGTTTTAATGCGTTCATATAGATTGTGACCATTTCTATGCAGTTTTTTTCAGTGTGAAAAATATAAAAACATTTTTCGTTAAAATTATTAACAAACCAAAATTAAACATTTCAAGAAAGACATTTTTTAAGTTAGATAAATGGATTTTATTCCCATGTGTAAAATTCTGAATATTTTCGATTAATTTTGTTGAAAAACAATTCCCCGAAAGGGGGTAGGCCAGTGCTGGCCTGTCAGTCTGGGGGTTGTGGGTTCGATTACCACCAGAGATTTTGATCTGCTACACTACAACGGGAGTATGGTCATCGTCACCCTGCTCGGTAAATTAGGTTAGAATATAATTGTAATGAACAAACAAATAAAATGCTATTTCTCTTTGTATTTTGAAAATAATCACAATATTCCTTTAATTAAAGATTTGTACGTTAAAATGTACATCTTCTTTTAAAAATCATGTTTCAGAAAATTATTTTTTATATGTAAATTTAATTTCTATTGTAAGATTTTTTGAATTTCAAACTGTGTATCCATTTAGTTGGATTTAGAATCTCGATTTATTAAGTCTTTTCGATAATTATAAAGTTTAGTGCTCTTTTTATATAACTTTCATCACTTTTTATAAAAAATTATTTAGAAATTCGTTATATCTAGTACAACATTTACTCATTTATTCGTAATATAAGGTATTCAATGGAAAAAATTTGGCCGTTAGTTAAATCCCGAATTCGCTAAACTGAGTATTCGTTAAACCGGGAAACCAGTGTATTTAAAATTAACTAGATTAACACTTTTGCTTACAATTTAAAAAAATATTATGAAATGTGACCTAACTTCATATTCCGGGATACCAGTATCATTATTTAATTCTAAGGCAAATCATTATCCGTCTGATATAAAAACATTTATTTCGATACATATACATTTATAAAAATTACAAATCACGTAATACTTTACTTTATAAAAGTGAAACATTAAATTTGTAGGGCCTAGCTTCATCCTGATAAACGACCGAAACAATAAAATTCAAAAAGTCACCAACAAATCTGGGATTATTGAATAAAAATTGTGTATTTTAGTATTTATGAAAAATTTGGAGATATTTTTAATATTTTCTAACATATAGAGAATATTTTTTATTCATGATTTTTTTCGTTCGTCTTCGCGGACCCCCTTTTGGGAACCGTTGGACTAGACTATAGACTAGACTATAGACTAGACTATAGACTAGACTATAGACTAGACTATAGACTAGACTATAGACTAGACTATAGACTAGACTATAGACTAGACTATAGACTAGACTATAGACTAGACTATAGACTAGACTATAGACTAGACTATAGACTAGACTATAGACTAGACTATAGACTAGACTATAGACTAGACTATAGACTAGACTATAGACTAGACTATAGACTAGACTATAGACTAGACTATAGACTAGACTATAGACTAGACTATAGACTAGACTATAGACTAGACTATAGACTAGACTATAGACTATAGACTAGACTATAGACTAGACTATAGACTAGACTATAGACTATAGACTAGACTATAGACTAGACTATAGACTAGACTATAGACTAGACTATAGACTAGACTATAGACTAGACTATAGACTAGACTATAGACTAGACTATAGACTAGACTATAGACTAGACTATAGACTAGACTATAGACTAGACTATAGACTAGACTATAGACTAGACTATAGACTAGACTATAGACTAGACTATAGACTAGACTATAGACTAGACTATAGACTAGACTATAGACTAGACTATAGACTAGACTATAGACTAGACTATAGACTAGACTATAGACTGGACTATAGACTAGACTATAGACTAGACTATAGACTAGACTATAGACTAGACTATAGACTAGACTACAGACTAGACTATAGACTAGACTAGACTAGACTAGACTATAGACTAGACTATAGACTAGACTATAGACTAGACTATAGACTAGACTATAGACTAGACTATACAAGCGTGTCACACTTTTCGATCGGAGTGTTTGCAATTTTGTTTTATTATTCCGATCGATTGGTTTATCTTCAACAAGGAATCATTCAGAAATAAATGATTTAATTTTCATAAATATTTACATAGTTTGTGTCACATTAGTGTCGCAACAAGGAAGGAGTTTTCTTTAATTACTTCTCATCGATCAGTTGATTACTCACACCTCTTAAGATCATTTCCGTTTTTTTCAACTTACAAATCAAAAGTACGAGGGCGTACAAAGCGATTTCTAAACAAAAAAATTTAACCTCGAGTTTCCTAATAATTTATAATAATAAACTTCCTCTAATTTAATTGTGTATTTTAAGTAAATAAAATTTCATTAACAACAAATACTACGCGCACTAAATGATTTCAATACAACTATTTTTGTTATTTTTATACAAAAAGAATAGAATTAAGAAATTTGTTTACTTTAAAAAAATAAATTCTTTTGTTCTTCGCACGAAAGACAAATAGTCACCTAAAAATCAAAAGGTTAAATGCTTAAACTACTAACTTACTATTTGTATACAAAATTATTTTTTTCAAACTTATAGAAAAGAATTCTTCACCCGCGTACACGTGCTTGAAAGGAAGCACTTGAAAATGAAACACAATTGAAACAAGTGAAAATCTATTGTACACGATCGATCGTAATGTAAAAATTTATGTATATCAATGTTTAATTGGAATACAACAATACTGTTGATATTGACTGCAAATATAAACAAAATTTAAGTATTTTTAAACATTAAAGATCCAATATATTTATTATTCTTCTACCCTTTATTAAATGATTAAGAAAATTCTATTAAAAGTACTTGTTTGAGTAGAAAATAAAAACAACGGAAAATCTGTGGAATTTGTTTACATTATTTACAGCAAAAATATTACACCTTTAAAATAATACATACAATTATATTTTTTTAAGTAAATTGTTTTATAAATTTGCTACAATAAATTTCGGTACAATTAACATCAAGGTAAACATTAATAAATCAGCTGAAATGACCTTTCGTTCGATATATTTTAATTTTTTTAATTAAAAAAAGAAAATAGTTGGAAAATTTTCTATTAAAAGAAACTTTTTTCTATAAAAAGAAAATTTTCAAGAAAATTTTCAAGAAAATTTTCTATAAAAAGAACATTTTAACGAAAATTTTCTATAAAAAGAACATTTTAACGAAAATTTTCTACAAAAAGAAAATTTTAACGAAAATTTTCTATAAAAAGAAAATTTTAACGAAAATTTTCTATAAAAAGAAAATTTATCGAATATATTCTCTAAAAAGAAAATTTTATCGAATATATGCTCTAAAAAGAAAATTTATCGAAAAATTTCTCTAAAAGAAAATTTATCCAAAAATTTCTCTAAAAGAAAATTTATCGAAAATTTTCTATTTAAAAAAAAAACTATCCAAAATTTTCTATATAAAAGGAAAATTTATCAAAAATTTTCTATATAAAAAGAAAATTTATTGAAAATTTTCTATATAAAAAGAAAATTTATCGAAAATTTTCTATAAAAAGAAAATTTATCAAAAATTTTCTATAGAAGGAAAATTTATAGAAAATTGTCTATATAAAAAGAAAATTTATCGAAAATTGTCTATAAAAAGAAAATTTATCGAAAATTTTCTATAAAAAGAAAATTTATCGAAAATTTTTTATAAAAAGAAAATTTATCGAAAATTTTCTATAAAAAGAAAATTTATCGAAAATTTTCTATAAAAAAAAATTTATCGAAAATTTTTTATAAAAAGAAAATTTATCGAAAATTTTCTATAAAAAGAAAATTTATCAAAAATTTTCTACAAAACGAAAATTTATCAAAAATTTTCTATAAAAAGAAAATTTATAGAAAATTGTCTATATAAAAAGAAAATTTATCGAAAATTTTATATATAAAAAGAAAATTTATCGAAAATTTTCTATATAAAAAGAAAATTTATCGAAAATTTTCTATATAAAAAGAAAATTTATCGAAAATTTTCTATATAAAAAGAAAATTTATCGAAAATTTTCTATATAAAAAGAAAATTTATCGAAAATTTTCTATATAAATAGAAAATTTATCGAAAATTTTCTATATAAATAGAAAATTTATCGAAAATTTTCTATATAAATAGAAAATTTATCGAAAATTTTCTATATAAATAGAAAATTTATCGAAAAATTTCTATATAAATAGAAAATTTATCGAAAAATTTCTATATAAATAGAAAATTTATCGAAAATTTTCTATATAAATAGAAAATTTATCGAAAATTTTCTATATAAATAGAAAATTTATCGAAAATTTTATATATAAATAGAAAATTTATCGAAAATTTTCTATATAAAAAGAAAATTTATCGAAAATTTTCTACATAAGAAAATTTATCGAAAATTGTCTATAAAAAGAAAATTTATCGAAAATTTTCTATATAAAAAATTAGAAAATTAATAAAAATTTTCTATATAAAAAGAAAATTTATCGAAAATTTTCTATATAAAAAGAAAATTTATTGAAGATTTTCTATAAAAAGAAAATTTATCGAAAATTGTCTATATAAAAAGAAAATTTATCGAAAATTGTCTATATAAAAAGAAAATTTATCGAAAATTGTCTATATAAAAATAAAATTTATCGAAAATTTTCTATATAAAAAGAAAATTTATCGGAAATTTTCTATATAAAAAGAAAATTTATCGAAAATTGTCTATATAAAAAGAAAATTTATCGAAAATTGTCTATATAAAAAGAAAATTTATCGAAAATTGTCTATATAAAAGAAAATTAATAAAAATTTTTATATAAAAAGATAATTTATCGAAAATTTTCTATATAAAAAGAAAATTTATCGAAAATTCTCTATATAAAAAGAAAATTAATAAAAATTTTCTATATAAAAAGAAAATTTATCGAAAATTTTCTATATAAAAAGAAAATTTATCGAAAATTTTCTATATATCGAAAATTTTCTATATAAATAGAAAATTTATCGAAAATTTTCTATATAAATAGAAAATTTATCGAAAATTTTCTATATAAATAGAAAATTTATCGAAAATTTTCTATATAAATAGAAAATTTATCGAAAATTTTCTATATAAATAGAAAATTTATCGAAAATTTTCTATATAAATAGAAAATTTATCGAAAATTTTCTATATAAAAAGAAAATTTATCGAAAATTGTCTATATAAATAGAAAATTTATCGAAAATTTTCTATATAAATAGAAAATTTATCGAAAATTTTCTATATAAATAGAAAATTTATCGAAAATTTTCTATATAAATAGAAAATTTATCGAAAATTTTCTATATAAATAGAAAATTTATCGAAAATTTTCTATATAAATAGAAAATTTATCGAAAATTTTCTATATAAATAGAAAATTTATCGAAAATTTTCTATATAAATAGAAAATTTATCGAAAATTTTCTATATAAAAAGAAAATTTATCGAAAATTGTCTATATAAATAGAAAATTTATCGAAAATTTTCTATATAAATAGAAAATTTATCGAAAATTTTCTATATAAATAGAAAATTTATCGAAAACTTTCTATATAAATAGAAAATTTATCGAAAATTTTATATATAAATAGAAAATTTATCGAAAATTTCTATATAAATAGAAAATTTATCGAAAATTTTCTATATAAAAAGAAAATTTATCGAAAATTTTCTACATAAGAAAATTTATCGAAAATTGTCTATAAAAGAAAATTTATCGAAAATTTTCTATATAAAAAGAAAATTTATCGAAAATTGTCTATATAAAAAGAAAATTTATCGAAAATTGTCTATATAAAAATAAAATTAATAAAAATTTTCTATATAAAAAGAAAATTTATCGAAAATTTTCTATATAAAAAGAAAATTTATCGAAAATTGTCTATATAAAAAGAAAATTTATCGAAAATTGTCTATATAAAAAGAAAATTAATAAAAATTTTTTATATAAAAGATAATTTATCGAAAATTTTCTATATAAAAAGAAAATTTATCGAAAATTCTCTATATAAAAAGAAAATTAATAAAAATTTTCTATATAAAAAGAAAATTTATCGAAAATTTTCTATATAAAAAGAAAATTTATCGAAAATTTTCTTTTTATATAAAAAATTTTTATTAATTTTCTTTTTATATAGACAATTTTCGATAAATTTTCTTTTTATAGAAAATCTTCAATAAATTTTCTTTTTATATAGAAAATTTATCGAAAATTGTCTATATAAAAAGAAAATTTATCGAAAATTGTCTATATAAAAAGAAAATTTATCGAAAAGTGTCTATATAAAAATAAAATTTATCGAAAATTGTATATATAAAAAGAAAATTTATCGAAAATTGTCTATATAAAAAGAAAATTTATCGAAAATTTTCTATATAAAAAGAAAATTTATCGGAAATTTTCTATATAAAAAGAAAATTTATCGAAAATTTTCTATAAAAAGAAAATTTATCGAAAATTTATTGTTAATTTTCTATGAAAAGAAAATGTATCGTTAATATTCTATGAAAATAAAATTTATCGAAATTTTTCCTTTTATAGTAAAATATCCTCTAAATATTTGTCTCCTTTTCCTATAGCGGAAATGATTTTGTATATTTTTTTTTCACTTCAACATTTTTTGTTAATCCTTCTAGGAACATTATTATTGCTAATGACTTCAATTTCAATTGTACAATGTACCCCACCAAACAGTTTGTTTACATTTTAAATTTCCCGTGAAAAATAGAGTGATTTGTTAACTTGTTAAAATTGTTTATTGATCGAATGTTTATACTTGCTAGTAGTTGGGGTTTTATGGATCAATTAACAAAGGATTTATAAATAATAGACATTAACATTTAACGGTTTGTTTGTTTTATTACTTACGTTACGTTAATACTAAATTTTTGTTTTCTTTGTTTAAAGGAATAATAAATTAAGGAATCCATAGTTTCTTTTTTATAATTTCTAAACTTATACTAAAATAATTTACAATAATTTCTACTCTTGTTCGGGAACTAATTCGGAAGCCCAGACATCTTGTGGCCAACCGGTACGTCCTTTGCTTTGACGACTGATAGACTAAAATATAAGAAAATTATACATTAATTTATTGAAAAAAATCATCAAAATGGAAATATACTGTTTGGTCCTAAAAAATAAAGGCGAATAATTTATAAAGGGTCAAAAAAATAAATAAGGTCAAGAAAATTCTGAAAAAGTTTCAGCAAATCGACTATTTTGTAAGAAAAACATAAAAAACAAAAAGTTGATAGTTGTAAGTACTTTGATCTAATCGCTATGTAGGGAACTTGATTAGACAGGAAGTTCAGCGTACATGCTGCTTGCGTATAAGTGGGTCGTGGGCACTACGTCAATCAAGACTGGAGACGTTGCTAAATATTCTTCCTATTGAAATATACATATGAAAGTAATGAGGCAGCACTTACAGCCGAACGACTCTTAACTTTAGGAGAACTGAATAAAGGCAAGATTATAAGACACGTCATCAATGTATATATCGTACGTGCCTGATCGCATACCAGACAGAGAATGGGTCGGTAACTTTGAAACCTTGATAACATGGTCAAGCGGAACATTAGAGCAAATACTTGTAGCTATTCGTTGCTAATCGGAAGGTTGTAAACTGAGAGATAACGGACCTGGAGTTCTACATTGGAACTCCCGTCTCAACCTTTACTTCCAGGAAGAATCCCGTGCAAAAATGATATGTGTAAATTAGGTATGGTGCCAACAGGAGTTAACACATTTACTGACAAATAGAAGACAATTAGGTCGATACCAGGTGACAAAGTTTAATCAATGAACGTATTGGACTGTAAGAGAGATTTAAAGGAATACTCTCGCGATTAACCGGCAACGAAAGAACGAAGATACTTGCTTTAAAGGGAAGGAAACTTAAGGTAGTTAATGTGACGACCGCAAAAACTTTCATCGCAACGAGGTCTGACTTAAAAGTATGAGCTAGAGAATCTCATAAGACCAAATTGAGTAATAAAACGGTGGGAATAACCACAAAGATCCTATTGAGAAACTCTATCGGGAGCAAGTTTTCGCCTGGTAATGACAAATCACGAATATAACATCCCTTACGTACACTGATTGGAATATACTTAAGAATTACGAAACTGAGTTTATGGAAATCAGACGAAAATACCTTCATAGAAACATTTTCCATAAAAAGTAGCGTACCAAAGACCCGATAGTGACTCTGATGAATTTCTTTGGATTTTGTACACAGAGGGAAAAAACCGGTATAAAAGTACCGAAATTGATACAATCCGTATCAATTTGTTAATATTTAGACAACGGATGTTTATAAAATTTAAATAACACCCAGTTATCATTTGGACTACCAGACAATGCATTGTTGTCATTTCGATTATGTTTTGTGTCATTTTAGTAATCGTTGTGATTTCGACTACGCATCGTTGTCATTTAGTTTGTCAACATAGCGCTGTTACTTTCACAACACATTGTTTTCACTCTGAAAATATAAGGGGCAAAATTAAACTTCTAAACAAATTTTTGTATTTAACCGACTCCAGTCGTAGATCGAATATGCGTTTATGCATATTTGCATAAATTGAAAATCGCTTTTTTAAAACGTTTTTAAAACAACTCCAAAATCCCGCGTTTTAAATAATTTCTATCAACCTACACTAAATCATTTCGAAAGTACTTTAAATTGGTGAATTTATATACACACATATAAACAAGCTTAAATCAGGCATACCACGATACTCGATACTCTATAGTCTAGTCCACGATACTCGATACTCTATAGTCTAGTCTATAGTCTAGCCTATAGTCTAGTCTATAGTCTAGTCTATAGTCTAGTCTGTAGTCTAGTCTATAGTCTAGTCTATAGTCTAGTCTATAGTCTAGTCTATAGTCTAGTCTATAGTCTAGTCTATAGTCTAGTCTATAGTCTAGTCTATAGTCTAGTCTATAGTCTAGTCTATAGTCTAGTCTAGTCTAGTCTATAGTCCTAGTCTATAGTCTAGTCTATAGTCTAGTCTATAGTCTAGTCTATAGTCTAGTCCTATAGTCTAGTCTATAGTCTAGTCTATAGTCTAGTCTATAGTCTAGTCTATAGTCTAGTCTATAGTCTATGTGTCTATAGTCTAGTCTATAGTCTAGTCTATAGTCTAGTCTATAGTCTAGTCTATAGTCTAGTCTATAGTCTAGTCTATAGTCTAGTCTATAGTCTAAGTCTATAGTCTAGTCTATAGTCTAGTCTATAGTCTAGTCTATAGTCTAGTCTATAGTCTAGTCTATAGTCTAGTCTAATAGTCTAGTCTATAGTCTAGTCTATAGTCTAGTCTATAGTCTAGTCTATAGTCTAGTCTATAGTCTAGTCTATAGTCTAGTCTATAGTCTAGTCTAGTCTATGTCTTAGTCTATAGTCTAGTCTATAGTCTAGTCTATAGTCTAGTCTATAGTCTAGTCTATAGTCTAGTCTATAGTCTAGTCTATAGTCTAGTCTATAGTCTAGTCTATAGTCTAGTCTATAGTCTAGTCTATAGTCTAGTCTATAGTCTAGTCTATAGTCTAGTCTATAGTCTAGTCTATAGTCTAGTCTATAGTCTAGTCTATAGTCTAGTCTATAGTCTAGTCTATAGTCTAGTCTATAGTCTAGTCTATAGTCTAATCTATAGTCTAGTCTATAGTCTAGTCTATAGTCTAGTCTATAGTCTAGTCTATAGTCTAGTCTATAGTCTAGTCTATAGTCTATTCTAGTCTATAGTCTAATCTATAGTCTATTCTAGTCTATAGTCTAGTCCATAGTCTAGTCCAGGGATCGGCAAACTACGGCTCGCGAGCAAAGCAAAAACAAATTCTTTTTGATTAAGAAAGAACGAAAACAACATCATTAGCTTTCGCTCATATCCTTGCTTTTTTGGCTCTTACAATCGTACATTTGAGAACAAATCCTCATTGGAATTTGAGAACAAATCCTCATTGGAACATTTGGAATCGGTACCGGATCTCTAGAAATGCAGTTAATCAATGTAAAAAGTAAAGCTTTGTGTAGTAAAAAATTGTCAAAGATTAAAAGCAAGTGGGAAGAGTTAGGTAAGAAGCCAACTAACAATGAAAAATTATAGTCGTTCTTGAAACTTTGAACAACAAGTTATGATCCAAACTCTCTAAAGCCATACAAACCTATCACTCCCAATGAATTTGCTCCATGTACAAGTTAGTATTGTAGGAAACTGTTTAATTATTTAAATTTTTAATTGAAAAGTTCCCTATAAACGAATGGGGTATCATATGAGCGCTCCTACGAAGTGCCATTAGATAAGATGTAAATCATGATCATATTTTTTGCATGCTTTGCATAAAAAAGTTTTTAGAAATGTTACATGACAGATATCTATGAAAGATTGATTTATTTTTGACATAAAATTTTTAGCTTTAAATAAGGGACCAGAAAGCGTATTATGGATCCGTCCTTACCAAGATTTGGTAATGAGATTTTTTATCCTATAAAACTTGTTTGTATTGATTTTCATCACTATATTTGTATTTTAGCCTATATGGAGGTAGGGTCAATTCTGAAACCTCCTTATTACATTTGGCACAGATATATTTGCTCTTATAAATGTGTTTATGACGAACTACACCACTAGCCTGTTATGAGCGTTAAAGCAATTTCATAAAGAGGAATTTAAATGGGGGTATGGTCAGCAATGAACTGAACCTTATAAAATTTTGGAAAAAGATTTTTGTTCCAATAATACTTGTTTGTTCTGAATTGTTTCGATATTATGATATTATTAAATCAGTTATGAGCGTTAGAATACTTTTCTGAGTAGACCTTATATTGGGGTTGGTCAATTATGGTTCGATGTCTGCCATAAAAAAATGTTTGAAAAATTTTATCACGATTGCTGCCTAATTAATATAATTATAACATTTTATACTGTATTATGGAAGCTGCGTCCTTAATTTTCGCTATTTTTACAATTCCTGATATGCTTTTTTTAAAAGATATCACTGTCGCCCTACTCTAATAAACATTTATATCTTTACATAACAAGTGTTAAAAAAAGCATTCGAATGACCTGACCCATAAGAATTCAAAAAGTACCTATTTGTAGTCAAAAATCTATAAGAAATATTCCTGGCAGAATTGTGTTGTAGATAATTAAATAAAAAATATGTTTTTGAATGATTTCATAAAGTATTTGTTGAGTTTTAATAAACAAAAACTGTCTAGTCTAGTCTATAGTCTAGTATATAGTCTAGCCTATAGTCTAGTCTATAGTCTAGTCTATAGTCTAGACTATAGTCTAGTCTATAGTCTAGTCTATAGTCTAGTCTATAGTCTAGTCTATAGTCTAGTCTATAGTCTAGTCTATAGTCTAGTCTATAGTCTAGTCTATAGTCTAGTCTATAGTCTAGTCTATAGTCTAGTCTATAGTCTAGTCTAGTCTATAGTCTAGTCTATAGTCTAGTCTAGTCTATAGTCTAGTCTATAGTCTAGTCTATAGTCTAGTCTATAGTCTAGTCTATAGTCTAGTCTATAGTCTAGTCTATAGTCTAGTCTACAGTCTAGTCTATAGTCTAGTCTATAGTCTAGTCTATAGTCTGGTCTATAGTCTAGTCTATAGTCTAGTCTAGTCTAGTCTAGTCTAGTCTATTCTATAGTCTAGTCTAGTCTAGTCTATAGTCTAGTCTATAGTCTAGTCTAGTCTATAGTCTAGTCTATAGTCTAGTCTATAGTCTAATCTATAGTCTAGTATATAGTCTAGTCTACAGTCTAGTCTATAGTCTAGTCTATAGTCTAGTCTATAGTCTAGTCTATAGTCTAGTCTATAGTCTAGTCTTTAGTCTAGTCTATAGTCTAGTCTATAGTCTAGTCTATAGTCTAGTCTATAGTCTAGTCTATAGTCTAGTCTATAGTCTAGTCTATAGTCTAGTCTATAGTCTAGTCTATAGTCTAGTCTATAGTCTAGTCTATAGTCTAGTCTATAGTCTAGTCTATAGTCTAGTCTATAGTCTAGTTTATAGTCTAGTCTATAGTCTAGTCTATAGTCTAGTCTATAGTCTAGTCTATAGTCTAGTCTATAGTCTAGTCTATAGTCTAGTCTATAGTCTAGTCTATAGTCTAGTCTATAGTCTAGTCTATAGTCTAGTCTATAGTCTAGTCTATAGTCTAGTCTATAGTCTAGTCTACAGTCTAGTCTATAGTCTAGTCTATAGTCTAGTCTATAGTCTAGTCTACAGTCTAGTCTATAGTCTAGTCTATAGTCTAGTCTATAGTCTAGTCTATAGTCTAGTCTATAGTCTAGTCTATAGTCTAGTCTATAGTCTAGTCTATAGTCTAGTCTATAGTCTAGTCTATAGTCTAGTCTATAGTCTAGTCTATAGTCTAGTCTATAGTCTAGTCTATAGTCTAGTCTATAGTCTAGTCTATAGTCTAGTCTATAGTCTAGTCTATAGTCTAGTCTATAGTCTAGTCTATAGTCTAGTCTATAGTCTAGTCTATAGTCTAGTCTATAGTCTAGTCTATAGTCTAGTCTATAGTCTAGTCTATAGTCTAGTCTATAGTCTAGTCTATAGTCTAGTCTAGTCTATATAGTCTAGTCTATAGTCTAGTCTATAGTCTAGTCTATAGTCTAGTCTATAGTCTTGTCTATAGTCTAGTCTATAGTCTAGTCTATAGCCTAGTGCATAATCTAGTCTAGGTATTTGGTGTAGTCTTATTTGCAGTCTAGTCAGTAGTGTTGCGCAAAATTAGTTAGTACTTTACATCATAAAAAGGACTATTTTTGTTATCAGTTAGTACCATTTCAAAGTCTTAATTTTCCATGGCATTTATTTAAAAATATTAAAATTTTTATGCGCAAGCTTGATCGAATATACATACCCAATTAATGATTTTTTTCAAAACTATTTATGTTCAAGTGATCCGCACTGTATTAATATTTGTTTATTGAAAAAAAAATCTTAAAAAGGGGTGTATATTCAAAAACGAGATAAGCTTTTAATTCTTCAAATTCATTTAAGTAAAAAAGAATTAATGAAAATTCAATAGGCCATGTGGTTTACCGACAGAATACAATGTACTGCACGATTTATGATATATTTTTATCAGTAAATGCTTTTTACTCCGAACATTAAATTAACTCAATTACAAGATGTTCTTTTTTCTCTTAACTTACAATTTTTATTGTTTTTTTGAAACACTTGCTGAATTAAATAGGAATTTATGCACTTGATGCTATTTGCCAACAACAAAATGTAACAAGATTTATATGGAAAAAGTCAACCACCCTCCTCTCTTACTTGTCATAACAATAATGTAATAGAGTTATTAAAAACAATTCACACCAGTTATATCAACCCACTTAACTTTTAGGAGTTATACATTTTCCTCTATTGTTTCTCTAATAACACCACCAACCATAATACTAAATGTTTTTTGGGATTTCTACATACTTATCTACTTAGAAAACCAACAACCAATTTCTTGTTAAGTGCCTGCGGTATTACGCATGCCACATTCATTTGTCGATGTCTGTCTGATTAAAATCATAACCATAACCGAAAACAAAATCCATATAAATAAAAATATAATTTACTTAAGTGTCGTTTAATGAGGCATCTCTCTCGCTTGTTTCATTTTATAAAATTATGTCTGTTTTCTGTCAAAATTATGTGGGATACTTCTGTTATGCGTAAATATGAATAACATTAATCCTTCATTTACAGTTTGTTGTGGGGTCTATAATTTATTTTGTGTGTATTTACTCTAAATATGTAAAATTTTTGCAATGAATGTAATTTATATTAAATTCGGGCTACTTACCTTTGTTTCATTTCTTACATATGCTCTTTTTTCGTGGGAATTTTTACGATGCAAAGGTTTTAGGTCCGCCCGAAAACCATTTTTGGGATCTTGATCACCGTCTAAAACTTCGACTAGATATTTTATATATAATATCGCTAATTTAAGGGTTTTTATCTGTAAATGAAGAAATAAATTTATTAAAAAAGTCTTCACCCATTTTTAAGTATACCAATCGGCCCAGAATTAAACGAAGCGGAGATTCTACGGATCTGAAAAGCAAGGGAACGGACAAACAAATTTCTAAACTTAACCTAACTAGATGGTACAGAGGCGTTAAAACTACCTATTTGATTCTATTATAGAACTATCTCCCAAAATTTGGATGGATTGTAAAACATCTAAATCTGTATAGACACCAAAGTCCGATAAGCCTTAAGTCCTTCACTTAAAATCTTAGGACGGTAGCAGTATATCCGACAAATACCTCAAACATAGACAGCATGCTTATGTAAAGACCCTAACCGAGAAAGGTCTAAGACCTGTCTGTTATGCAGACGATATCGTAATACTTCCAAGGGGAAAGGATCCAAATTACTTATGTAAGCTTGGTTGAGCCAAGAGGTCTGAATGTTAACCCGTAGAAGACTGCAATCTGTTTTTTTCACAAGAAATACAATGATTGCCATTGAATCTGGTTTTCTGGACAAGACGTTACCGGCTGGCTTCATAAAAGCGTGATTAGACCAATTCTAACGTAAGCTTCAATAATTCGGTAGACTTCTTTGGATAAAAAGTTAATATCAAACTACTACCCGTAGGAATCCGATGCAACTCGAATGGCTATTAATTGGGTACAAAACGGGCCTGCGGTTCTATATTGAAGACTCTATCTATCTAATTACAACACTACCCAACAAAAAAAAAAAACTTCCAAAGAAGCGAAAAAGAGGTAGAATTTACTCCATGGAAGCACTGAAAAAGACCTGAAGAAGAAGAAATTCACTACTTCTGAAGTCATTCTCAAGGAGTAATTTTAATGGAAGTTATTCGGAAGTGAAATTGTAGTACAACTAATTTATTAATTAGGGTAATAGACACATTTACTACAAAAGCCCAAATATAACATTTTTTATATCATAACAAGTAAGAGTACTTCGTTTTATTTTTGCTGGGTAGTTTCCAGGCAGAAATTCGCGCAATAACTTATTTACCAAAAACCAGAAGGCAATTAGGGCGATATCAGGTGATAAAGTTTGGATTGTAAGAAAGCATTTACCGAATACTCTCAAAGAAGTAGCCTTGCATCGTATGGGTACCAGGCCACTAGGGAGTAGTCAGCTATGTAAGCTCGAATTTAGATGTTTTAAAGAAAAGGTAGCTCTAAATACCTCAAGCTCCTTGACGATCGCAAAGCTATTCGACGCAACAACAGCCAAATTAAAAAATATGGGCAAGAAAATCCCATAAGGCTTCTTGGAATAATGAAACGATGGGTAGACCCATAAATATCCTATAGGTTAACCCTAAGGAGAGCAGGACGAACAGACTCCTCAAAATGAGCAAGTCTGAGCTTAGTATGATGGTACGTATTTTGAGTGGATACACAGGATTACGTACGGACACAGCTATACAAAATTGACACAGCTATACAAATCAGAAGAACAGTGAAACTCTGCAGCACTTCCTTTGTCATTGTCAGGCTTTTGTCGAAATTAGATCCAAATATCCGGATATAACAATCTTCACAAACACTAATTGGAAAAATCTTTGGAATTACATGCAGAAAATTGAGTTTCTGAAAATCGGACGATATTTTCATTGATCACTATACAGGGTTTTTGTTTTTACCAACATTTTCCATAATAAGGTGCGGCGACAAAGGCCCGATAGTGACCTACTTATGTAGGAGCATTTCTCCGGATTTAATGTAGTATACATACATACTTCTATCAACCTAAACTATAGAGTTAACGCAAAGACGATCAATTTTATTATTGAATTTTCCTCAGATTGCCTGCAGCAAGATGTCAAGGAACAACAGACGATTGTACTATAGGTCCTAGATTACACATGCTCAAAATGGCTATAAGTATAAGTTTTGCGGTTTATTCTTTCAGAATATTAATCCAACTAATTTTAGAAACAGACCCTTGGACCTCAGTCTTTTTCCAGTCTATTTTCCTTCCTTTTTTCCTTTTCCTATTTAATCTCTATCCATTTTAATCTTAATTAATGATATCACAACGGCCTCCGAGTGAATTGCACTTTATCTAAAACCAACCTAACCGCACTTTTCGAAATTTGGAAAAAACATTTCATACTTTAAATTCTACAAAAACTTACCTTTGATAATTTCGTATCCGATGGAACATTTGGTATCTTTTCCCGCAAGCAAGAAAAAGCATTATTTATACTCTGTGTACGCCGTCGTTCTTTCTTATTCGCTGTATTGCGTTTCTTTATCACACGAACTGGGGGGACAGAAATAGTAGTTTTTGTTGAAACGTTTGTAAACAAACTTTCATGAAATTGGCTTTCCACATCTTAAAACACAAAAAATTTTCATATAATTTAAGAAAATAAATAATTAAAATCCACTTTAAATGATCTGCAAAGTAACCCAATATGTATTTCAGATAAAAGAGACCATTCTTCTCAATTCTAACAAACATTTTAAGTTTCTCGTTTCTAAATTTGAGATCCAATTACCTTCCAAATCTGAAGATGAAGCGGGACAATAACTTGGTGAGCGGTAGTAATTATTTGCATTATTAATGGCTGTTAAAGTACAGGTAGTGGTGGTGGTAGTAGTGGGTTGACAGCAATCTTGTTGATGTTGCTGATGCTGTTGTTGTGGATGAAGTTTTGTATCAGCACAATAGGTGGGAGTATTCCAAGTATCTATTATTTAAAAAAGGAATTATTACAGATTCAAAACACACTTTTTTTTTAGCAAAACACATACGTTCTATTGTATTAATTTCCATTAAACGATAATTATTATTATAAAAAATCTGATCATTTTGATAAAACGGTGAGGGTTCCCGGCATATTTGTTGTGTTTCGTATTTAGACATGATTATTTATTTGTTTCTTTATTTATTTTTATTTCTATTTTTTATAGTATTTTTTATTATTTTTTTTTTATTTGTTTATTTATTTCAAAACTTTTAGATCATTTTTTTTTAGTTTTTCTTCTTTTCCAAATTCCGTTTAACGCGCGTATATTTAAAATGTCTTAATAATACTGAAATCAAATATTGAAAAACTCTTCATTATATTTTGTAGTTTTTCATTATTGTTACAATTTCAAATTGTAAGCAAAACATATTTTCCTTTGTTTTTGTTTACACACCCCCGTTTTTCTACCAATCAAATTTTACAATATGGTTGTCTTCAATCTGATTGGCTGTAATTTTCTCTATGGCTTATTGTTATACACTAAGAGAAATTAATTGGTGAAATTTTTATTAAGGAAATAAAAGCATTATGAAAAATTAATAAACAAAATCAGACCAACTAAAACGGAAATCTATCATTTCACAAGAAATACAATAATGGGTTCTTAGTCTTACTATGACACTTTTAGCTTTATAAAAATTAATTAGACTTGCGCTCATACTTATAATCAGGTGCAGGGTCTAAAGTGTAACATTATACCACTGTAGGGAGTTCAACGTATTTGTTGTTTGGGTGAAAAGAAACATAAAGCACTACGACGATTAAATCTTAAAGTGCCTTGGCTCCTCTCTTAAACCTTCCCCTGATGAACATATCGTCATATTCGTGTTATTGCAATTCCCTTGGAATAGTGGTGCTATCAACTCGGGGTAATTAACTAATGGTGTCAAATGCATCCTCTGTCTTTTTTTGTAGTGATTAACCCTGGGATCGAACCAGAGAACCACAAAATTTAGTACAACGGAGGCCAGTTGCCATTATGACTTGTCCTGGCTGGTTATTGGCTAAGATTCCGTCGGGATCTTTATGACTCCTGGCACGGCTAGTACTGATTAAATATGACTTTTAAGATCAGGGAAGTTTTTAGGGCTGTTGCCATCTCAACAATATTGCGACATGATTCATGACAAATTATTAAGGAGTACTTCCTTTCAGGCCAATTATGAACAATTATTCCGCAGCAGTTTGTTCCCTTTTACATGCTTTAGGTATAGGTGAGGAACAAACTCCCTCGGAGTTTGTTATGAACAATAGGTCTGATTGGGTTCGGTTGACTTTGGAAACACCTACATCCTTTGTCATACCATCTTGAGATAGAGAGGTATCCAGATTTATTGGTGGTGTATTTTGGTCTACCAAATATGTCTCTAGGTGCTGTTGCCGAATCTTCAGAGTGATACGGAAACTTTAAAAGCTAGGTATTTGAGCGGGAACAAACTCCCTCGGAGTTTATTATGAAGAATAGGTCTGATTGGGTTCGGTTGACTTTGGAAATATCTATATCCTTTGTTATACCATCTTAAATTATATCCTGATTTATTGGTGATGTATTTTGGTCTACCAAATACATATTTATGTCTCTAGGTGGTGTTGCCGAATCTACAGAGTCATGTGATATGGTTGCGGAAACTTTACAAGCTAGAGGAATGTGCTTGAAGAGATCATTTGAGGATGAGGGTGCTTCGGCTCATGTTCTGTTGGTTCATCTAGGATGTAATATCTGAGTTAAGTGACACAGCTGATGCGTAGATGGGGTTTGACTCAACTGTCTCCTCCTATTGTCAGTCATTTCGCATTGTAAATTACACAGTCCAACAAAATTTGAAAAAAGTAAAAACCCAGATACAAAATATATGTACATTTCTAAAGGATTAAGCAGAGCTGAATCCGAGTAAGGTCTCTGAATTTCTCCCTCACACCAGATGTCGTGTCCTTAAAACTAAAAAAACTTACCTTTTTGCCATATTTGAGACCTTATAAAACGGGAAGATCATTAGTAAAATCTGCTATGTCATCCGAGAATCAATCTGTCGACTTAAAAAGAAATGTCAATGATAACAGATTCCTCGCGCTTTTACCTATTCTATTTAAAATTTAATAAAAAACATACAATTACCCGTGCATCATATTTATAAATATAATTTATTTATATAGTTATTTGTTTTTTTACATTTTTTTGGACAAAAAGAATATGAAATCCATATAAATACACCATATTTCTTTTGCGGTTAATATTCTATTTAATTACAATTAAATCAATAAAATTACTATTCAAACAAACTAAACTGCAAGAAAATATACAAAAACTAAATACAAAAACACCAAGATCAACAATAAGACTTTGTATAATCGAAAATAAATGTAAAATATTTTTGGTCTGTGAAGGTAATCTTATATTCAACATGGTTATGGCCAAATTTATAAGCGGATTTAAAGGTTGCTGTTCCCTAAAGAATAGCAAATCAATAACAACACATAGACCGGCGGGTATAAAAATGCTAAAACTGGCTGATGATGTGGTTGCAGTTGAGGATTCACGCAAAACAAATGTTAAAATGCAAGCAATAAGAGCCGAAATGATTAAATGTAAACGAGCCCTGAGTAAAATATGACGTTTTTGCTGAGAGGGCGTTGATGTCGTTTCGGTATTTAATGAGCTAAATAGATCACCAATAAGCATAGACGGATCATTTTGTAGCAATTGCTGAGGAATAATGTCGGGCTCAACTTCTGGATCAGAAAATTCAACACTATCTAGCAGATTTGGTCCTGTAAGAAAGATAAAGAAAGATATATGAGAAAATGTGTATAGATAGATAGATAGATAGATAGATAGATAGATAGATAGATAGATAGATAGATAGATAGACAGATAGATAGATAGATAGATAGATAGATAGATAGATAGATAGATAGATAGATAGATAGATAGATAGATAGATAGATAGATAGATAGATAGATAGATAGATAGATAGATAGATAGATAGATAGATAGATGGATGGATGGATGGATAGATAGATAGATAGATAGATAGATGGATGGATAGATAGATAGATAGATAGATAGATAGATAGATAGATAGATAGATAGATAGATAGATAGATAGATAGATATATAGATAATAGATAGATGGATAGACAGACAGATAGATAGATAGATAGATAGATAGATAGATAGATAGATAGATAGATAGATAGATAGATAGATAGATAGATAGATAGATAGATAGATAGATAGATAGATAGATAGATAGATAGATAGATAGATAGATAGATAGATAGATAGATAGATAGATAGATAGATAGATAGATAGATATATAGATAGATAGATAGATAGATAGATAGATAGATAGATAGATAGATAGATAGATAGATATATAGATAGATAGATAGATAGATAGATAGATAGATAGATAGATAGATAGATAGATAGATAGATAGATAGATAGATAGATAGATAGATAGATAGATAGATAGATAGGTAGATAGATAGATAGATAGATAGATAGATAGATAGATAGATAGATAGATAGATAGATAGATAGATAGATAGATAGATAGATAGATAGATAAATATATATATATACATAGATATGTATATAGCAAGATTGGTTAATCTAGATAATATACATAGATTTCACCTAGGCAAAGTAGATATGTTATTAAGAAAAACAATTATTTTTATACAATGTCCACATTTCAACTCTTCCCCTGGTTACATTATGATATCATGCCACTCTACATACAACTTACCATTTATGTGTTCATGCTTGTGGTGTTCATCATGTGAGTCAGTTGTATTAGTGTTAATAATTGTGGTGTTAATGTTGCTGGAGGTGGCGGTGTTGGTGGTAGCGGCGGTACGTCCATTTAACCTCTCTAGACGATTTTTAGCATTTTCCAAAATTTTCCTTCTACGTGCTTCACGTCTTTGATTCAATTTTTCCTGTGCCTTTAATTCGTCTTCATGCATGTTAAGTGTTTCTTGATTTATAGTTTGCAGTGGCTCCATTTGTTTTATAATTGGAGATTAGTTTTTTATAAACTTAGTCAATATCTTTTTTATGGTTTTATTCAACGTAATATTTAGAAGACGTATAAAAATGTAAAACTAGGAAAGAAAAATAATTGATAAACAAGTTGCATATAGACTCCGAAAATTTTTCTAATTGGAAGTGACAGGGTGATGCATATTTTTCAGATACAGTCGGTAAAAAATTACAATCACATGACAATCAATTTGTTTTTGATTGGCTATGACGGCCAAAGTTCTATTTTGCTTATATTACATTGGAAAAACAAAGGAAAATGTGCATTATTTTTAATAAAATACTCTTTTTCCTCACAATGGACGCTTTCAAACCATATAAGTTTACAGATTCGTTTTCAACTTCATTTATTTTGAAAGAAATTTCTAAACACCCTGCAAAAACATATATTTCGGTGTTAATTCTTCTACACCCTGTTAGAAAGTGTTTCATTCCATTTCATAACAAACATCCGAATCATCTTGTTTACTAGAAGAGCATTACTCGACAACTTTTTAAACAGAACAAGAAAAAATTATTGTCTGCAAATTTTCGCCAAACAAAAAAAGCAAAATATTTTAAAGTTTTATAGCCTAGAAAAATAAGAACTACAAAAATAATGACTGTTACTGAAAGTCAAGTCAAAGATACCGAAATGGAGGTAGATCCTTCCGATGAAAGTTCGAATGCTGATGGCAAAAAAGATCAAGATGTTGTGCATATTTTGGAAATCCGGGAGCATATACGAAAAATTGATAAAGCTGTGATTAGCAATGAATATCGGTAGGTTTTAAGAATAATAAATTAAAAGCAGAGATATTAATTTTCCTTTAAAACTTGCAGTTTTATAGCGCGAGTTTTGAGAACATTGCCCAGCACTAGACGTAAACTGAATGGCATTGTATTGCGTTACTTGGCTACAATTGTTTATCCCGCCGGTGCTGATCGAGAGGCTGCTTTAGCTTTTGCTCCTGCCGTACCCGCTGGCACACCTGAGCCCAAGGTACAAAAAGTACGCCCGGCCACTGCCGCTCCCATTATTGAGATTGATGCCTATTATCATTTGTTACTTTTGGTGAAATTAATCGATGATAATGAATTGAAAAAGGCTTCTGCCTGTTCTGATGCTTTGTTGGCTAAAATCCAGGGGCAAAATCGTCGTAGTTTAGATTTGATTTTGGCTAAATTCTACTTCTACCACTCACGTGTTGCTGAACTTACTAACAATTTGGAGGGTATACGTCCTTTTTTGCATGCCCGTTTGCGTACTGCCACTCTACGCAATGATTTTGAGGGTCAAGCTGTTTTATTGAATTGCCTGTTGCGCAATTATTTGCATTATTCTCTTTACGATCAGGCCGATAAATTGGTTAAGAAATCAGTATTTCCCGAATCAGCCAGCAACAATGAATGGGCTCGTTTCTTGTACTATTTGGGTCGCATAAAGGCCGCCAAGTTGGAATACAGTGATGCTCATAAGCATTTAGTGCAGGCTTTGCGTAAGGCACCACAAAGTGCTGCTGTTGGTTTCCGTCAAACCGTACAGAAACTTATTATTGTGGTAGAACTGCTTTTGGGCAATATACCCGAAAGACAAGTTTTCCGTCAAGCTGCTTTAAGGAAATCTCTAGCTCCCTATTTCCAACTTACGCAGGCTGTACGTTTGGGTAACCTAAAGAGATTTGGTGAAGTAGTCGAGAACTTTGGACCCAAATTCCAACAAGATCACACCTATACGCTTATCATACGTTTGCGTCACAATGTTATCAAGACCGCCATACGTTCGATTGGTCTCTCCTATTCGCGCATCTCACCCTCAGATATAGCCAAACGTTTAATGTTGGACTCGCCGGAAGATGCTGAATTTATAGTGGCTAAAGCTATACGCGATGGTGTTATTGAGGCTACTTTAGATCCTGCCAATAATTATATGCGCAGCAAGGAAAGTACTGATGTCTATAGTACCCGCGAACCACAATTGGCTTTCCACGAACGTATTTCATTCTGTCTTAATTTACATAATCAAAGTGTTAAGGCTATGCGTTATCCACCCAAGTCGTATGGTAAGGATTTAGAAAGTGCCGAAGAGCGTCGTGAACGTGAACAGCAAGATTTAGAATTGGCCAAGGAAATGGCTGAGGATGAAGATGATGGTTTCTAAACTGCTAACTTTTAACATACATATGCATACATTAATATTCTTTAATTTTTGCTTGGAAGCTGTGCTTTATAACAAACAACTTCTTCACATATATAAAACGATATTTAACATTCAGAAAAAGTAATAAATGAAGTTCAATTTTTTTATGTCCCTAAGTTTTTCTTTAATTAGAAGGCCAATAGTGGCAAAAAATGTATTAAAAAAGATTCGATTTTACTGAAATTTGGAAAATCCGTGTTTGATGTTATAAAAAACTCTAAATTTAACTATTTAAGGGTTTTAGATTGACATTAATTTTCTCACTATAAAGACCCACAATTGGAGTTAAAGAATTTCTAGACTAAAGCTTAAAATTGCCTATATAAAGACTCATAATTGATACAACACACCAAGATTGAAGCTAAAATATTACCTAGATTGAATCTAATGGTTGCTTATACAAAAATTTAAAAGTGTAGCTTTAAAGGCCCAAAATGACTATAATTAAACTCAATATTGCGACAATAACTTGACTATATAAAGATTCAAGATTAAATATAAATTCGATGACGTTAAGACCCAAGATTAAAGCTTAGCTTTTACTTCATAAAGATCCACATATCTTGCGAATATTTTCCAAAAAATGTGTTTATTTAAAGAGCCAGGATTAAAGCTTTAATCTTTAAAAAATCTCCGATTGAAGTTAAAATTTATTCAAATAACAGTTTACGATTGAAGAACAAACTATAAGACTCCTTGAAAAGTTTTCTAAGTCATGCTACAGACTGAGCAAATTCTAAAGATAAAACTCAATTAATTTTAATCTTTTTTTATTTTTTTAAATAAGATCTTAAAATGCAATTACATAATTATTAATGATGTTTATTTATTGGTTTATTATGTAGGCGTTTTGATGTATAAGTTTACTTCACATTTTAATTGCTTTCTTGAGCTTCAATAGCTGGTGGTGATGCTTTTGGCAATAGTTTAGGCCCGTACAACAGGACATATGCACAATGCCAATCACCACCGCCCGAAAGACGTAAAATTTCATCACTTGTTACCGATGTTACGACATCGTCATCAAATTTAAACCAAATATCTTCGGTTTGTTTAACCCATGCCACATAATGGCCCGAAGTGCTAGAACGTCCTTTGTGTGTTAGAACAGCTTGGAGTGTATAGTAACCGGAATTATTACTACCTAAATCATCTTCAAAATAAAACGGTTCATATTCCACTTTTGTTTTGCTGTCATCACCGCCATCCTTGGATTTAACCGCATCTAGAGGTGCTTTCACCTGACTTTCGAGTTTTTTATCTTCTAATTCTTTGAATTTTGCGCGCATGGGACATAGTTTATTTTGCAATTCGGGTGTGCACAAATCGAAGGCATCGAAATCAATGGGAAACTTAATATCCTTTAAGACTTTAGCATTGATGCCTTCTTTACCCTTGTATTGAAAACGTACAAATTGTACGGTTAAATAGGCAGGCAAACGATTAATTAAATACTGTTGATGGAGAAAAAATTCATAAGTATTAGCGTAGCAATATAATGAATTCTTCACTTACCGATCTGGTATAGTTGGCATCTCTTCCTAGACTTTCTGAACGTTTAACTAAAGTTTCATTTAATTTCGATTTTAAGCCACTATGCATGTATTTCACCTCGGGCGATATAAAACAACTTAATTGTAAAAAGTTCTCTTTGCTAATGCTGGTATCCTCATCGGGTGCCTCACTGCAACTCATTTTAACCTCAAAAGTACCGCCAAAGTATTGTTCAATAAATGAGCTGAGAAATAAAATGAAAATAAAAACTTTAATAAAAGAATTTAGATATCTTAATTTTTAAGAAAAAAAGCTTTCTGTGAATAAAGTCCAAGAAAAAAGCTTTTATGTCAAAAATATTTTTTTTTTTGAAAAAGCTTTTTCTAGAAAAACACTTTTTGGATAAAAAAAAGAATTTTGGTAAAAAAAAGCTTTTTGGAAAAAAATTTCCATAAAAAGTAGTGAAAAAGTCTCAAATAAAAACATAATCAAATGATAATTAAAAAAGTAAATTATATTCATTTTCGAAGACAAAAAGCTTTCTGGTGAAAAAATCTAAGAAAAAAACTTTTAAAAAGAAATTCTGAAAAAAGCTTTTTCCAGAAAAAACACTTACGTATTAGTTAAAAACAAAAACAAAATTCATGTAGAAAAAGTTTTTTGCAGAAAAAACCTAAAAAGCTTTTTCCTTAAAAACTAGTTAAAATAATTTTAATAAAAGGATTTCTGAAGAAAACTGAAAAATTTTAGGGTCTTTCAAAAAATCACTTGTCGAAAAGGCATTTTTCCCATAAAAACTCTGGCTAAAAATGATTTTGGTAAAAAACTTTTTGGAAAAAACTAATTAAAAAAACTTTTTTGGCTTTAGTTTAAGAAAGCTTTTTCGTCGAAAAATATTTTTGAGTGAAAAAGCTTTTTTTTTTCAGAAAAAAAAAATAACTTAAAAAATTTTTATCGAAAATATTTTTTGCCAAAAAAGGATTTTCCAGACAAAAACTTTTTTATTAAAATACTTTTTAGAGAAAAAATAAATTTTTGCAAAAAAGGGCTGTTTTGGAGAAAACATTTTTTTAAGGTTTTTGAACATTTGTTAAAAATCTTTATGAAAAAGTTTTTTTGTGAATATAAGTTTTTAGTTAAATAAGAAAAACCTTTTTGGAGATGTAAAGGTTTTTTGTGTGAAAAAGCTTCTTTTAATGACAACACAAAAACTTACTTGTACTTCTTAACCTGCTGTCCACCCTCCACTTCAGGAACACTAGTTGCTGGCAATTTTTGCTGTAACATTTTCAACAATTCCGACCAACATTCGTTGGCATCCTGCTGGCGATAAGTACCATTTTCACCGGTTTGTGAAAATTGTGGAAAGGCTTGATGTAACGTTCCCAATAAAACGAATGGTGTTACGGTAGAACCAGTTTTTTCCATTT